AGTAAAATTAAAACCAGAAAAATTGAATCGATTGATTTAAAATTGAAGAGAAAGAGTCAAGAGGAGAGCGATAAGGGTCAAATCAAGGTGTAAGCTCTTTATGATGCCGTTTGACTTCTTTTTTTTCAGCCAACCGGAATCTACCCAATCAAAGACATCAACAAGAACAATCTCCGTCAGATCTTCAGTTTTGCTCCGATTGCTAGCAAGGATACGGAGACTAACGTGGCAGACCAAAAAGCGTTGCCCGACGCGAGCATCGATGCCAAACCTATCACCTCTGATAAGGACACCTCAGTCAAAACTTCCAAGGGCAAGGAAACAGGTGAAGAGTCGCCAAAGGTCTCAGGAGATGTCGAGACTGCAAAGGCCATCAAAGACGCTGGCAAGGTGAAGACCACAAAAACAAGCGAAGCACCTGGCAAGGAGGAAACCACAGAAGCAGGTCAAGTAGCGCCAACTAATGAAAGTGTTGTCGAGACTACCGAAGGAACGGGTGTATCGTCGACTGCTGCAGCTGTCGGGACATCACCATTGGATGCCATCGATGAACACTCACTCAGTGCAGGGACCACTGAAACTTCTCCGGAAGCCGGCAACGCCACAGAGAAGGCCGAAGCTACTGCTGGAGGCGAGGAGACATCCAACCAACCAAATCTCAGATACGAAAGCAAAGCGAAAAGCAAGGTGCAAATGATGTGACAGACCCTACAAAAAATCACACAGAAGCTGCCATTGTACAGGAAGTGCAGGAGGGGTTGAATACTGGTGATGGTAAGGGAACACCGAAAGGAGTCGGTCTCTGGCAAAGGGTCCGAAACAGCTACTACTCCAAAACCTAAGCATGAAGAGGTTGAGGGATCTGGAGAATTGCATGAGGGCAGTGGCAACGCGGACGACACCACATCGACGATCGTCGACTCGACGACTCTGCTCACTGGTAACGGTTCAGAGCCAGATGAGAATATCACCAGCACTGCAACCATTACGAATAAACGCATCGCAAAAGACTCTTCCAAATCGCTTCCCACCATCACAATACCGCAGAATCCTGAGGAGCCTTATGTATTTGTGCCAGTGGATTCCTTTAAAGGGCAGCAGTTACCAGGAGTTAGCTATTTGCTAATCCCCAAGAAGTATGAGAACAAGGTATCCGAATATCTAACCTCAAAAACGCGCTAAATCGGTTAGTTCCAGCCATACATCTTCTTTTTTATTGACGATAGCTCTTTTCATTTTCATTTCTGCGGCACGTTACTTTCATTTGACCTACTTATGAACACGATATTCTGGTGTCGCATATCTCCAGAGTACATTCCAGCAGATACATACAGTCTCTTCTACCATGGAGCACTCCAGAGCCTAATTATCGTCTACATCCTCCCCTTCTATAGTCGTTCAACATCTTTTGCTTTCAGTAAGATGTTCATGCCACGATGACGAGTATTCTGTCCAAGAATTTATGTACAGATAGTTCCAGTCCTCAATTGTTGAATAACTTATTTATTAGTTTTGCAACAGGATAAAAGTCTATTCAGTCTGTTCGAGTTTCTATGTTTTTTCAGTATCAAAAATTCGGATTAGTGCAGAGTGGTTCGCCAAGTGGGCGAAGTTGGTGCGGTGGCAAGACATGCCCCATTGCTCGTGAAATGTTTTAAGGTGAAAGCTCAGAACGATTCTCGCGCAGCCGGCCAACCTTCTTTCCCTTGGGGTCAGGTCAAATTGGTGCCATCCTCAATTGAGAGGAAAAAAAATACTGAATCGTACTTCGACAAGCTCGGCAATTCATTGCGTAAGCCGAATCGCGTTGCGCTACGGATCCCAATAAGAGACCGGTAGACGTTAAAATCTCTATCTTTGGTCCTTTTAATTGGCTAGGGAATCAACTCCTACGATATTCATGACGAAGTGGCGGAAAGGGTTGTAAATCATCGGCCTTGGAATTTTCCGCAATTTCAAAAAAAAGCCTTGCCCATTTGATTAATAAGAGGAAAGTGCAAAATGAGAACGAAAGCAAACCGGTCTGATACACTATTTTCGCTCTGATTTCGGTTCCCATTTGTCAAATGTATGATTACTACAATCCACAATTACCTTTTCTGCTAAATGGAACAGAACAGGAATTCTGAAAAATATCTGGTTCTTTCCCATTCTATAATAATGGGGCTCTTAGTAAGCAGATCGAAAACCATACAACCCTGGAATGAAAACCTGACCTGTTTTACGAAAGACTCTTCTTGACAGTTGAGGAGAGGATTACTCACCACGCCATCGTTCTGCCACGATTGGCCGAATGGGATTGTAAGGGCAAACGAAAAACGAGATTTGACGGGTCTTTCTAGCGATGCTAATGCTTAAGATTCCATCAATTTGTCCTTTATTGGACTCGATGCTTAGCAGACGAGGTGGAATCGAATTAGAGCAATGCGACGCAACCATCTCACCCTTGCCTTGCGTATCCCTTCTTCATGGGGCTATCAGTCTTCCAGCGCACCTTCATAGACACCTTTACTACCAGTGTAAAAACACTGCTGATAAGCCTTCGAGTAGAAACCGTCCTCAATCCATCAAATAGCCATCAATGACTGGGAGAACGTTAACGGCTCAAAAGAAGCATGACTGTTGTTCCAGAAAAGAGAAAACACTTGAGCGCATCTTATGTTGATTTACACTCTGCTAACCAGCTCAAAATACGCTCGGCTGGTGGTCTCGGTGGTTGCTGGTATCTGGTTTCGCTTTGAAACACACATTACTGATAATAGGGACAAGGGAAGAATGTGATCGCCATCGCGTCGATGTCTGTCTCGATCGTATTCCCATTACTATTCAGGATCTAGTTCACAGCGAAAAAGTTAAACGAAACATCTCATCGGTTTTTCACACGTCGCCGACAAGCCATGTCGGAATCTGGTCCAATGACGTACGTCTTACCTCAATAACAAAACCGCTCACGGTGCGGGGATCTTAAAGCCTAGAGAAATCAGTTCGCAAAAGCGATACCCATCTCCGTCATGAAGCATTTCGGAGTAAACGAGCTTGCAAAGATTGAATCATTGACTAGGACAGAGAAAACTTGGTACAATGTCCGATCACCTGCGGCCCAGACCAATAAAGCCTTGTAACACCAGGAAAGGTGAAGTACCATATTCGCTCGGGAGGATAAGGACGCTAAGTTACTGAGTGGCTGCTTGCTCAAGTCATTGTGTAGGCCTTACCTCATTCAGTCGGGAGATGGGCAATTTCTATCGTGGGCTGATTGCAAGGCACGGCTAGCTCACCGCAGCGCTGGCAAGCCATGCGATGAATTAGGCCGGGGTTTGAAGTTGCTCTGCCGGTATACGAGAGTCTTCGTCAAAGTAAAAATTTTCTTCTCCTATAGCTTGCGCATCAACTAATATCCACAATCCACCCGAGAAATCGTTCTCGTACATCTTCGCGACAAATTTCCATTGGAAGTCTTGAATGGGGTCCGTCTTAGAGTCTTACCACTTGCAATACAGAGGGTCGCTGAACTTTGTTGTGATAGTCTTCTGGGTGTAGATACGTTGAGAATCTTTCTAGTCCTCTATTCGACTGACTACGTTTTATGCCGTAAGCCCTTCTTTAGGTCTACAAACATTGCTTATATTGCCGGGCACCAACATCATCTTACGACTGTACATAAACTCGTTCATCAGGCAGTTGATTAGGGCACGGTCGTGCAACGGGCCCGCAGCGCGCTACAGGAACTATTTGTAGGGAGCTGCTAATCTGGGAAAAAGTAGCCAAAACAGTGAAAAGTTGGAAAAAATGACTAAATTAGCCTGGAAAAAGCAAATAGTTCCTGGCACGCGCTGCGGCCCGTTGACGACCGCCCTAATCAACTGCCCGGATGACGAGGGTACATAGCAAGAGATCCAAAGAGGAAACTCAATAAACTCTGACCGGATGTGTCTCTTGTAGTCCAAAGCTATTTTGCATAACCCTTGTGCCTTATAATGTCGTGACGTAGTGTTCTGAACTGATGGAGCGATTGCGAACGATTTCATGGAGATCACTTCTGGCTGAAGAGATTGTCATACGAGCCGAAAACTTCCAGCAGGTGCGAAACCACTTTGGGATAGACATCATTCAACACTATGTGAGTGATGAATGAAGGTTTTGCCCATCGCGATCTCCAGCATGATTGCCACATCAACGCCACTTCATATGGAAGCATTTTCCCACTATACTCATCTTCGTGCACAACTTCGTGCGGTTCGGATTCGTTTTCCAGTCATGTCATTTGGAGAATAAAGTCATTTTCAGGCAAAATCATTCGTTGGAATGCACTTTTGTTGTGTATGCTTTTCAAATCAAAGAAAGAAGAAGTCAACAGCCAGAAAATGTTCTCCATGGAATCGTTCGCAATGGCTCCATCAGTTCAGAACATTACGTCACGACATTATCAAAGGCAAGAAGTATGCAAAACCGCTTTGGACTACACAGAGACCACTTTCGAAAAAAGCAAAAAAGCATACGCATAGCATCCAAGCCCTCGATCATCCATTCGTCAACCCTACAACGTATCCACTCCTCCACGGTCGAGTCCGGCTTACGCCGCCAATTCGTACTGAATGCGCATATTCTCCCCCTAAAAAGCTCCGTAACTTCTTTCTGGGAGGTCCGCAGCAGATATGGGAGACGGTTTCGTAATCCCGTCCGAAGACCTTTCAGCCGGTATACATTTCATTTCAAACGACCACTTCGACTCCCCTTGTAAGGCTGGAACCTCATAAATGTGCATGATGATCAAGCAGGCAACAGCTGAGACTACACTGCATTCAAAACTCGAAAAACAGCAGGCGGAGCGCAGAGCGCCCAGGTTTCGAGCCCAATGGTGCCCGATGGGCCCATGCCGATCAGGTTCAGTGGCCGTGTCGTTGTGACACTGCCATTGCACTCTGTTCCTCGTCGCTTTCTGTCGTCTCTTGTCAGTGTATCGTCGCCTTTTGCGATTCACATTTGATCTTGACCATTGTACATTCGTCGAGTGACCATGATCAATCGAAATAAAGAGGATCCTATTGCTTGCAGTTTTTCGTGCTTCGTTCTCCTTCAGTTAGTCAACAAGCACACGGCAGTTCTATTTCTCAACTGTATTACTTATGAAGGGTGGTCGCGGGAGTTGTCTTTACTCTTCCCTGCTGTTAGTCGGTGGTTTCCTTCTTCTCTTTCTAGCGCTTCTTTGATCTTGGTCTCCACCGAGTCACTGATGTTCGTGTGGATTACGCGCACCTTGAGTTATCCGTTTTTGAGAAGTGTACGCCGTCACGGTATAGCCACCGCAGGAACATTGATGGACGTCGACCTCCGAGCTGTCGTCAAGACCTGAACTATATTCCTCTTCACAAAAAGAATGGGCGGCACATTCTCGGTGGATTAAGATGTTCTTTCAAGCGGGTCTCTTATGCCACATGGAAAGCACATTTCCTTGCCAACAGTTTCACTTTAATGTTCAAGAACAGTAGAAAACCGTGATGCTTCTTACCGTGCTCGAACACCAAAGTGAAACTGTCTGCAAGAACAGGGAGATAGACGGATTGCCATGGAAGCGTGCATTAATCTTCTACGACAGCATCAGAACAGTTGTCAACTTTACGGACTGTCCATCGACGATATAGAAGAACTCTGATAAATGTTGTGAAATTCAACATGTTTCGTTTCCTGCAATGTCAGAATGATCCTGTGCTTCCTTGAGTCATATTTCTTCTTTGTGGTGGATATAAAAGGACTCGTCCGGTAGTGTACGAAAGAGTTGCATTATATCCATAAAGAAGAAGACAGATGTTTCGGTTCCGGATCAACACTTATATGCAGCAGCAATGGGCAGTCGAATTGCAATATTGCGATAACGAACGCCTTTCCAAACGATTCATGAGCAATATTGCGAATTCTCGCAATATTGCTCATGGATCGTTTGGAAAGGCGTTCGCTATCATCGGGATTGCTGTTCTACGGCCGTTACATAGACGACATATTTGTCGTTGCGAAGTCCAGAACAGCATTACGTCGAACCTTCTTGAAGCTGAACTCAGTGCACACAACTATTGCACCGGCTGTCGAGGAACGATGGTTCTTCTACCTTTCTTGAATATCAAAGCGAAACTGACAGCAAGAAATGTACTTTCCATGTAGCATAAGAAACCTACTTGAAAGAACAT